TAGTGTATTAAGGAAACATTAAAGATAAATTATGAAAACTCACAAATAGGCACAAAGGTACATAAACATAGACTGTTTGTAAACGCAGTGACTTACAGCGACAGCACCTCTACTGAGCTGTCAGAGCAGATGCTACTGTTTGCCATCTCTAACACTGAGAGGCCACTACATTACTGCAGACAACTTCATCCAGTGCAATCTAATACTTCAGGACTGTATTTATGAAGCTTAACATATGCAGTTGACAATCCATCAAAGAGGTGTTGAAGCAGCTACAGGGTCACTGTGACCTTGTAGATGTGGATTTGAGCGTTTTTAAAGGTTACTTCCTATATGCCCGTCAAGTTGCAACATAGATGTGAAATGAAGCCAAAATAAACGTGTGAAAAATTCAAGTTCCTCAAATGCCCACTTAAAGTTGACTCACCGTTAGACTTGAATATTTTATTTTATTGAGGCTTAGATTATACTCAATTCCTGACAGGACACGGACCGCTGGACTGCCTAGGGCTCATGCTTAGCTGGTGCATTGCAATGTAAATTCTCCACGGATGAGTCTGAGAAGTCATGCAGACATGTGCACCAACCCTCATGCTTACTCTTTGCTTGCTCCCCGGGGGTTGGGGACCGCTGGTCTAAGTGACATACGCTTAGACCAGCGATCCCCAACCCCCGGGCCACAGACCAGTTCTGGTCCGTGAGTCATTTGGTACCGGGCCGTGAGAGTTGAGGCTTGGGTGTGACATTTATGGTTTTCAGGGTTTTTATCAGTTTATATTGTTATTTTTCATTGTTTTTATCGTTAACTCGGTTTCTTTGGGTCTTTTCCCATGTGTTATGAATAAATCTTCTTCTGTTTGGTACCGGTACTGGTTTTATTTATCCGTGACACCCTACAGGCCGGTCTGTGAAAATATTGTTGGACAGAAAATGGTCCGTGGTACAAAAAAGGCTGGGAACCGCTGACTTAGACCCAAGAGGACTCACGGACACCAAACATTTAATCCCAGTTAAAAAATTTTAATTCATGCATTTTCAGTGGTAAAGATGATAAGACCAACAGGTAAATGCTAGGCTAATTTGAGAGAGGTGCAATTAAATGTATCAATGGGCACTCTAATGAGTCAGTGCAACTGCTTTTAGTAAGTTAAATTGTAGTGCTTATTAGCAAGTGTGCATTGCATACGGGTGGTACCTTGCTCACCAAGCTTGCCAGCATTAGCAAATAGTCGACCCTCTCGTTCAAATATAGTTACTAAAGAATAACATGGTGACAAACTGGTGATTTCCATCTTTTATATACAGTCTATATTCATGGATTTTTATGGCTTCACTGTCTGAGTTGCAGTTCCAAATGTTTTTGTAAATCCTTATGCCATTTCTGATGTCCTCTTGGTGCACTACAGGTTTGGATCTCACAGTATGTTTATGATGTTTAAGTGTATTTATCTATACCAGAGGTGAGCAATTCATTTTCCAAAGGCCACCAATAAGCTGAACTTAGTTCTGCTCAATATTAAATTTAGTTCTCTAGAAGCCTACTGGTGTGGCCTATTGTTTCTCATGTGGCCCCTTGGGAAAATTAATTGCCTACCCCAGATCGATACGGTCAATAATTGGAAACCATCTGCAGTAAAATACCCTTTTCACAGGGACTCTTACAAGCTTTCACTTAAATCTGCAGGATAATTAGCAGCTTATTGATGACCTAATCCTGATACTTTCGCCTCACAAGCTGACACTTCTCTGTCACAACTTCAGCAGCTGACCCTGCTTCTGTCTGTCTTCCCCCTTGTTTCCCCTCCAGTAAGACCCAAACATGGCCAGTAGGGCTTGTGGTAATGATGATGGTGGAAACTGGATACCTTGCGGGTGGAAACCAGAGCAGGACACAATACACCATGATAAAATTCCTGAATCCACGCGCCAAGTTTCCTCTTTGCCTCCTCCTCCTTCCTCTCCACTTTTCCACTCCCATGCTCCCTCTCTCCTCCTCTGCCTCTCCTTCTCCTCTGCTTTCATTTCCCTTTACTTTCCTTGATATGTGATACAGCGGAGACGCTCGGGTTACAGTTTTTACAGCTCAGCCAGCCCAGTGCTGTATACATTCCTTTCTCCCCTGTTTCTTACCCCTCTCTCCAGCGTTTCATATCCCCTCCAAGCCCACTCCTCCTTCTCCTAGATTACTCACCGAGGCTTATTTTACCATGGCGCACATTAAGCAGCCAGATGAAGGAAACACTGTCAGACTGTTTAGTTTTTCAGAGGAGTATGATCCCTCAAAAGGGCACATTGTGTGCCTCACTCTCTCCCTCTGTGTTTTCCTCCAGCTTTGGTTTGTATTATTGAAGATGAGAGAATCTTAAGAGGAGACGGGAACAAATCAGGTCTGTTTTTGTTCTGAACAGAAGAACCTAAAAGTTTTCTGCAGAAAATCAATACTTTTAAACTCAGGACTTGGTGTTCTGAAGGAGGCAACCGTCATGCAACTCTGCAGCATAATATTAATTAACTGCAGCTCTGCAGGGAGCATCAGAAAGCTGAATCCAGGTTTTACATGTGCCAAATTACACTTATTAATCATGTTATTTAAAGTGAAGGCTGCACGCAGGTGGAACTTTCTACCACTGGATCAGTGTCTTAAATTAATTGTGTATAGACAACAGCTTGTGTGATGTAATGAGAGTTGAAATCCAAGGTTGTGTAAGGAGCTGCAATCGAACTTGTTTAGCCTTTTAAAGGTGTTTTGACACCTTAACCACATCTGCTACTCCCTTTAGTAGCTTCCCCTGGTATTGATGGAGATATTGGAGTTGTCACGAGGCGGCATCACTTTTCCCTCCACACCATCGGCACAGCTCTACAGTGTATCCGCCGCACTGCCGTACGCATTTATTGTCATATCTTAGAATCCACAAGCTGCTGACAGCTTTATTTGCTCACATATTCAAAATTTAAAAAAAATAAAAGCGATGACAAATTAAGCTGCTGCCATTCAAATGAGATGTTTAACGGGCATGACACCTCTCCAAAACATACAAGAGATGTCAATTCTACTGAATCCTGAATGATGACCCGTGTCACAAAATCTGTCATCTAACAGCAAAACACAGACCTGCAAATAAAACATCATTTCTGACTGATGACTGGCATCATATAATTACTTGGTCAAAGTGATAAATTATCAGATGAGACATTCAGTGTGATTTTTTTTTTAATTTGTGTCTTTTGCGAATAGATTTTTAGCCTGATAGCTGACGTCTGAAATAATGACAGAACTGACAAAAATCAAACCTAGACTTGTGCTGCAGAATTTGACAGGAAGACACCTCCTTCTGCCTAAAATGCAGCTGGGAAACATTGGGCACATTTTAAAAGCTCCTCTGAGAACACCTTTAGTATTAGAACTAGGGAAATTTCTCCATGGAGAAAACCCTGCCTGACACACACCCGCCCCCACCCGCCCCCACCACCACAACCCTGCATCCCTCCCTTCTGCCATCAGGACCAGACAGAGAGAAAGAAAGAGAGAGAGAGAGAAAGATGGGTTAACTTTATTCTTCCTGAGAAAATGTGCCTCATTTCATCACGAAAAAATGTGCATTCAATTAAAATTCTGTTACAGCGTGGACTCTCCTTCCTCTAGGCTTACAATGAATTTTATCTGACAAACAAGGACTCTGAGAATTAAAAGTGAAGGCATGCATCTGTTCAAGCAAATGCTGGCAATAACAGTAGATTGCACTGGTTTGAAATTGTGCAAAATTATTACAGTTTACTGCTCCATTCTTATGCATCTTTGACAGCTGCTTTGTTATCAGCAAAGTGCACATTACCCTCTTTGTACAGTTAAAAATAATAATAAATAAATAAGTGAAGCAGTGACACGTGAACGCGGCGGGTATTTTGGAGGGGTCTACATACAAAAAAGCTCTTTTTTATTTATTTATTTTTATCCCAGGGTTGTTTCAGGACTCGCTCAAAGCCAGCACCCTCGCATCTCCTCTGACAACCTAAGAAAAAAATTACAATTGCCGCAGTTATTCTCGGTGTGATCACCTGCACATTCAGCCCATAACAGTGAAAACACCGGGTGTTTCTGCGTCTCCGGCCAGATGTGTACAAACAATGAGGAGATGTAGACAAAGCGGACACGCAGCCTGCCTCTGTCACACACAGACGCCACGAGCACTTTCTTTTCTTTTTTTTTTTTGCTCCATAATGAACCACACGGCTCAAATATCACAATGTGTACCGAGCGAAGAAAAAAATAGAAAACACAGGAATAGAAACAACGTGTGTTTGAATGTCGACGGGGGAGAATCGTGCAGGTCGATCCCGGGAGACAATGTGCTCTTGTCGGGTGCGTAAAGCTCACAGACGCACATCTGGATCACACGCCTCTGGGCAGCTGGTCAACACACTAGCAAAAGCACACACACAAACGCGGGCATACAAAAACATCTCCAGTCAGAGACAAACCCACAAAAGCATCGCGGGGAAACCAGTGTTCCCCCATTGATTTACACTAATTATGCACATTGGCCGCTCTCCCCTGCGCTGTAGTGTAGCAGTATTAATAGTAATAGTAGAAGCTCTGTTGACGCCTTCACTGACGCACTGGATTTTCCATTAACTCTGGGTGAGCCATGAAAGGCAGGGCACACAAACGGATAGATTATGCCATGAATTGAAGCGACAGTATTCCTCCACTGACTCAAAACTTAATAGTAGAGGAGTAGCTGTGAATGGGTGCCGCATCCATTGTGCAAGGCGGTATTGGCAGGCTGCGCTTAGAGCCTGGCGTTCAGCGTGGATGTGACAATAGAACTTGGATAAATCAAAACATCATAAATTAAAGTTTCACTATCACGCAGCCAATTGCACTTCAGTGCATCGTATTTTCTTTCACTGCCTGGCTAGTGCTTCAACACACATGCACGCTCCTCACAGCCACTCCACGCGTAATCACATGCAGCTGGGCACAGATCCCCCTTTACCTTCATCTCTTCATTTATTTCCCTTTTCACTGGGTGAGCTGGTTTTCGGCTTCTTTTATTTTCCGGAGGTCTGCCCTCTTTTTCCATCTCTGCCATGTTTTCTCTGTGATACTTCTGTCAATATTTGCGGTGAGGAGGGGAGAGGAGGGGTTGAGAGAGGCAGCTGTTTACAGTCGCCAGACGGCGGGTGTCTTGCAGCTTTTCAGCGGCCCGTGTGACGCTGGTGATGCCGCCGAGGGCTTGCGGTGCCCGGCTAAGTCAGCCATCTTCTGCCCGTATCCTCCACGGTCCGTGCGCCAGTGGTGAGCCGCCTCTGTGAGTCAAAGGAGAGGTTGAGTGAGGGGAAAAAACGAGACAGGGGGAGGGGCGTCCGCTGAAACATTATATGACGCGTTGATGATCAGAGGTAGGCTATTTCTTCTCGCTTTCCCATGGAGTGCAATCAGAGCAGTCACATCCACTTAGCGGTGCTCCCTCATGGTGACAGTCTGTAACCAGCAAACAGGTGCCCCCACACAGTCCTCCAGCCTTTTCAGGGGAGCCTGCTGTTGGTCATAGCAACATTTAATCATGCTGTTAGTTCCCAACCCTTCTCCTTCAGTCATTTAACACCACAAAATCAAAGTTTCAGTGCGTAGGAAGAACTGAGCAAGTACAGTGGGTGGAGAGCTCTGTGGCGCTTCAGCAGGTCGGCCAGTGTTGCAGGGGTTCAGTGAAACTATGTCTTTTTGATTTTCCCTGCAAAGAGAATTTTAGTGAAAAGTGTGGAGCAGGTGCATAAATAAAGTGTGCGTGCGTGCGTGCGTGTGCAGACAGAAGAGAAGTGCAGCGTGCCTGAAATTAAGTTTCCATCTGGCCCTCACAGTGTTGCTTTTTCTCACTAATTTCTCAACATGCAAAGGACCAACTGGGGCCACGAACTGTGTCATTTCTATTTACTTTTATTTATATAGCAACAGTTCACAACAGTGGCCATCTCAAGAGGCCTTATAATGTGACTCTATAATATTAAGATCTCCCTTCCTCTTTAACAGAACCAAGCTCACAAAGGAGGAAGTCACATGCCACGACTGGTTGGGGTGTGAGGAGAAAGAGAGAGGCCACAAACAACAAACAGGACAAAACACAAACTTAGGGAGAGAGAAAAGATGGGGAGAGCTCAAGAAATCTTCAGTGCATCATGGGAAGTATGCCAGCAACTTGAGCCCTAAGCAGCATAAATTAGAGCTGGTTCAGGGTAAACAAATCCAATCGTAATTAAGCTTTATCAAAAAGGAAAGACTGGAGCCTAATCTTAAAAGAAGAAAGAGTGTCTGTCTCCTGAACCCAAACTGTGAGCTGGTGCCAGATTAGAGTGGCATGGTAGCTGAAGAAGTGTTGCCCATTGCACTTATGGGGATTTCTTAAAATATATCTTTGATATCCTTGAATTGGCTCATTAACTGACAGCTGGGATATGCTCCAGAATAGATAGATGCATGGATATAGCAAAGCAAAGCAGCAGTTATCTCCAGGTAAATCCCCCACACCCCCCTCTGGTCTACAAGCAGAGCTTGGCGATAGTGGTGGTACATAGTAGCCAGAAGCCAGCTCGGGGAGGTGTGGAAATGTGCTGCAACTCAAAGACAGGATCAGCATCAGAGTTTTACTTAGTTTGAGGTTTATTCTGATTACACCTGTTTGCAGAGACTTGAAAGATTCATGAGAGTGATACTACAGAAGTCCCACAGGACATTTCTCTTTCCAATACAACTGTGAGCACGAGTCCAACAGTTTAAATGTAAATCAATTCCAGAGCTGATCTATACAATGTGGTTTCCACTATACTGATCAATCCTGTTTACTGCAGTTGTTCCATTACCGTCCAATATTCTACAGTAAAAAAAAAAATCTGTCCTAATAAATCATGGTAGGCCATATTGATTGAGTCTGATTGTTCCGGAGGAAAACATGTATCAGCTCAGTATACACATTATCGCATATACTGTGCATTCATGCCGGTACATGCTGGTCTTGCAAAGCTCTTTAAACAAGACAATGTGACTGAATGTTTAGAAATTGTGTTTTTTCCTCATGTCTAAAATGCATCATTTTCTTTGTGTCATACAAAACTGATCCAGCTGCCCTTTACTCTGTGATATTTCTTTGAATTCAAGGCCGTGAGGTTCATGCATCCCTCTGCCTTAAAGTGGAATTACAATAAGGGAAGCTGCTGAGAGTGCTGCTGCTGCTGAGGCTGCTCGTGGCATAGTGACACCCATTTGAGCCGGAAAATCAGCAGGAACAGGAGCTGTGAACCGTGATGTGGGGTCAGGGTGAGATGACTTGTGTGTTACAGTGCATGCTCTTGCCTTGCCTTGCAAAGTGGCAGCTCAGCTACATGACAGGAGCCCTTTCTTTAATGTGCTCCCCCAGGTTTACAGCAGTCTGGTTTAGTGCAATTTAAATCTAACACTTTGAAAAAGGGCTACAGTCGAAGTGAATTTTTGATCTTACGTGTAAAATCCACACCTGTGTACACCTTAAAGCAAATTACTGGACTTAAGGGTACATGTGTATAATTTTAAGGTCTTTCAACATCTGGTCTGTGTTTGGCCCAATGTAAACCAAAATTCTGTAAAACTTCTAGTCTTGGATTTTAAAATGATACCTTTATTTAAGATGCATAAAAACATTTAATACAACTGACAAGTTTAATTCTTTATCAGTCTGAACCGTCCTCTCATGTCTGAGCTCACTGACTTACTGACTTCATGGTGTCTTAGATTCAGCTTTTAAAATCATATTCTATTAGTTCATTTAGACTTTTATTTACTGAACTCTTTCTTTTTGTTTTATTTAACTTTTTTTCTGTTTAATTGTGCTACTTTTATTTTGACTTATTTAGCTTTTTTGTCTTGTTACATTGTATTTTATTTTATTGAGCTATTCTACTTTATTTGAACAGTTTTAAATAGTTTTTGGTTAAATTTCCAGCCGATGTAACACAAGAATATCACAACTTTTGGATAGATAAAGTATCTTATCTAGATTTTTCAAGGTCCTTTAAAGTCCTGTCTAGAGTAAAAGAGAAGTACCTTAAAGGGTACAGCCCAAATGCATCTCTAAAGATACAATAATGTACTTTATTTTCTCAGAGTGTGCAATCTTACATGAATCAGTAGAATTCTGGTACAAATTTGCTAAAACTAAATTTGATCCTAACCTTCTTTGCTCAAAATCACCAAAAGGAATACATGGCTCAGTTACAAAGTGCAGTTTTCCTACTGCCTAAACACAAGAACGTTGTATCTGTGTGTGTTTTGTAAGTGGCTACAGTAAAAGAGGATGCAGCTCCGTGTTGTGTAAGCTGTCCTTGACAGACTTCTCTGCAGTCCTGTTATAAGCAGATGGAGGAGGATTCAATGAAAGCTTTGTTAAACCACAGAGGCTGTGAGGGCATTACCTTATCACACTGTGGAACGGTTATATAGTCACAAAGATTGGGTTACATGAACTGCAACATGAGGACGCTCACTTTTCATTATTACAGTTTGAAATCAGTTGATATTTTCAAGGGGTTTTCCTTAGCTGAAGTACGTGACATGACATTTAAATTCATGGTTTTCTTATCTGACATTTGCCTGAATACAAACACATAATAAGTTAGGGAAGACCTAAACCACAATTTAACCAAAAGCGAGTGCATAGTGGCCTAAAATCTCAGGCAGTATGTCTTTAATTTGCTGTAATCTGACTGAAAATGAAACTCACAGCTGTTTGAAGCAGGAGCAAAATAATGTCACTGTCAGTTAGAAAGAAAGAAAGAAAGAAAGAAAGAAAGAAAGAAAGAAAGAAAGAAAGAAAGAAAGAAAGAAAGAAAGGGGGCTGCTTTTTTACAAAACTGAGGAGAACTGATGTTCTCTAATGATTACACATTACATATAAAACACATTAAATCACAAAGCAGTGCTGCCCTCATTCAGCAGCTTTACTAATGTGTATGTAATAACATCCAACTCAAATGGAAAGCAGATGGGCCCTCACATTAGCAGACCACAGACACTGCTCTTTCTGCTGTGAAGAGACATTTTTTGATCTTTGCTCACTTCTAGATAACACATGTTAATGATAACTTAACATTTTGTCAGTTTACAGTTTTGCTTGTTTTAAAATAATTGTTTCTATATATTAGTATATTATCTTACATTGTTTCAGGCTCAACTAATTAAGTAATTTGAGATAAACAGGAATGGTTGCACTAGCTTGATTTCCTCCAAATAGAAAATCCATCTGTTTGATGTGATCTGGGGAGATCTGGTGGATGGGTCAACACCACGTGGTCTTTGATATGTTCATCGAGCCATTAATGAGCATGTTTTGCAGTCCTGCTCTGGGAGGCTGTTGCTGTTGAGGAGTGCTGTTGTCATAGATGTGTGTGGAGGCTTTTAAACAGCCCACAAAATATTGAGCTATCATTGTGGAGAGTGACGATAGATGTTTAGTTTAGGTGTTAAAGTTTAGTTTTTATTAAATTGAAAACACTTTTTTTCCCCTTATTTGGTCAGTATTTATATTTTACTCCATTCTGCTTCAGTGTCTTCATTCAGACTTGTGGAAAGAAACTAAATAACATATTCATTTACGTCGGTCAGTTTCACTGGCGCCAGTATACATTCCAGTTTGATTCCTACCAACACTCTGAAGGTCTGTATTTACTGGTTTGCTCACCTGCTTTTCTGATCCTGGATTATAAAACATTTTTCTCTTAAAAAACAGATGGCTGCTGACAGCGGTGCAATTTCTAACAAGTGACCAAAAAAAGATTAGCTTATTAATTACACTATAACAACAACAACAACAACAACAATAATAATAATAATA